TACACCTTGTTATCTCAGATTCTCCAGCATCTGCAGTTCCTACTATCTCTGAAACAATTTTAATCCCACTGCGAAGCCTTTTCTGAAGAAGGGTCTAGGCCCGAAACATCAACCTTCCTGCTCCTCTGATGCAGCTTGGCCTGCTGTGTTCATCCACTCTACACCTTGTTATCTGGGATGAAGAAACTTGTTTTTGCAGACAGTGCTGAAAAAGTGAAACTTGATACCACAGGATGTATTTGAAGTGGATAGTGTAGCTGTATTTAAGGGGAAGTTGGATAAGCTTCTGAGGGAGAAGGCAACAGTGGATTATGCTGATTCAGTTAAGCGAGAAAGAATGGGAGCAGACTTGAGTGAAGAATAAATGTTATGGACTTGTTGGGCTAAATGACCTGTTTTTCTTCCAATTTTATGTAATTGTTGCTGGGTATGTTAGCAAACATGTTCTGACTAAATTTACTCCCTGTCCCTATACAGGAGCTGACCAAACGAGAGGTAGAGTACATGGCACTATCCAGGGATACCACTGAGACAGATCTTAAACAACGCAGAGAGATCCGAGCAGGAACAGCCTTTTACCTTGATCAGGTAAGTTAAACTGCAACTGGCTAGTCCACCGCTCAATTTGTGACGTATTTTCTCCCTTTGAAAATACATCTGTATGAAAATGAAACTTTTTTTTATTGCGTCTTCATCTCAAAAGCAGTTTTAAACCAGAAAAAGCAGTAAGAAATTTCAACATCATGTTATTGAGACATGAGTGAGAAATAGGCAGAAGCCAACTGGTATAGTAAAACGCTCTGTGTTTTGGGTCTTGACACATTTTTCCAAAGAGTAAGAGCTTAATGAAGAAAATGTTCCAACAGTAGTATTTCATTTCCTTATCAGGTGGGGATAATGATTACTCTCAAGGCCAACACACATTCTTCTGGCATTCAGGAGACCAAACATGAATTAGGTTTGTTTAAAGTGGTTGTACTTGAGTTGCTATGTGATATTAGTGTCCTAGTGGATTTGGAATAGGTGTAGTGATGGGGAAAAGCCCATCTCTAAATTGTTCTCACTTTTTTGTTTGTTTTGCTGCCTTTTTTTTAGCTGGATTTGCATGAGACTTTGTGTCAGTATTTGCAAACAATGTTTTGCTAACAATCCCAATGGACTTCCTGATGGTATTCCCCTGTTTGATATTCTAATAACTGAAGGGAAATGACAGAAAGATGCCAGGCAGGCCAGATGATACGTGAGACATACTGGTATCGACATCTGCAGGCAGAGTTGAACAAAATGTGTTGCAATATACCATTGTTTCCAGAAACAGCTGGCTCAGCAGATTGAACAACTCTCCTACATGATACGAATTCCTGACTGACTCTAATAGTTCAGGTTTCCTGTAAAGGCCTCGAAAGCACCTTAATTATAGCGTGCTACATATTCATTGACACCACATGCAATCAGGCATTTCAGAGTGGACAGCAGCCAAAAGAGTGTTTGATCTTGAATGGTTACAAACATGCCAATCCTTTTCACTGGATCTATCACCTGAGAGCCAAATGCTCTTTGCTGCAAAAACATCAAATAAATGGGAATGGAAGTGAGAGGTTGAGGAAACTGCATTTTTAATCTCTACAGTTTCAAAGAGTAAGGTGATCTATTGGAGCAGAACAAGGTCATTCAGTCCAACAAGCCTGCTCTGCCATTCAGTAAGATCATGGCAACTTCACTTTTCTGCCCTTCCCCATAGCCCTTGATTTCCTTTACTGATTAAAAATCTGAATATCTCAGCCTTGAATATATTTAATGACCCAGTCTCCACAGCCTTCTGCAGAAAAGAATTCCATAGAATCATTACCCTCTGAGAGAAGAAATTCTTCCTCATCTCTGTCTTAAATGGCAACCCCTTACTCTAAGATTATGTCTCCTGGTTCTAGCTTCTCCCACAAGCAGAAAAAGCCTTTTCGCATTTTTTTTAAACCTTTGTGCCCTCCTTTCAATAATCTCTTGCTTCATTTCCCATGTACAACATGCAGCACATGACTTGTTCTACTTTGCCTGTTTCCACTCATTTCCCCCACTTGTTGCTTTGGACACTGCCAGAACAAGAGCAATCATTGGTCAAGTCAGATGCATCAGATTCCCCAGTCTCATGGGAGGAATGTTCTGTTTGTTGGATTTAGTGTTGTAGAGACAAGTATATGACAATGCTGGCTTCAGACCTGGAGTGCAAGGTAAATCAGGTAAAGTCTGCCTCAGGTTTGAGATCCTGGCCGGAGAAATTGACTGCTTTAGATGCTGTCTAGTTTAGATAATCACAACCATGGCCTTTAAAAAGGCCTGTGGTTTCATATAACAACATCGTGAAAATGAACGGGTGGAACTGTGCAGGGGGATACTACACTCCACCTAGCTCTTGTCCTCGCATGTTCACATCTATTTTCCAGCGGTGGGTAAATTGGTCAGTGATCACACATGGCTGATTTTGTCCACCATTCTGACGTTCAGCGCAAAGGACAAACATACCAATTTCAACCTGTCAACCTCTGGTCTCAGCCTCAACACAAAGTTTCTCTTTGCTCCAAAAATATATTTTGTTTATAAAATTTGTAGCAACACATTGCAAAAATTTGAAATTTAATATTGCATAATATGTTTTCACGTTCTTTAGTTTCTCTTCAGATCATAAAAATCTTTTGCCTTTTACTAAAGATACGTGAGAAAATTCAACTTGTCCCCATACAACATATTCCACTTGAGACAACCCAAGGTCAAATCATTTCAAATTGTAAACTGCAGTCTCTGTGCAAATGAGCAGTTAAAAATTACAGTCCCCATCCTCGAGGTGGATACTCGTAATGTTATTTGTTACCTTACCCTACCTATATGCATTAGTAGGAGCAAATTACTGTGGATGTTGGAAGCTGTGTTGGAAACAAAAAGTACTAGAAATCACAGCGGGTAGGGCAGCATCCAAAGAGAGAGAGCAAGCCAACATTTTGAGTCTAGATGACGTTTCATTGGAGCTCTGATGAAATGTCATCTAGACTCAATGTTGGCTTTTTCTCTCCCCCTATTTGCATTAGGTTTGTGCTATTGTCCCAGTCTGTAAGATTATTGTCCTGTACTGGAGTTCCAAATGTATAAGCACAAAAGCTCCTTCCCTGTTGGTTTTTTTGTTAGTGCAAAGACTGCAAGAGCTGAAGAGTTCAGACTTTTGAGTTGTGAACAGGTTTGCACTGGTACCTCATCAATCGGGGAAGTAATTTCCCACTGTTACCTGGTCCCCTATCTGTTTTAGATATAATTGCAAACTCAAACCAATTTTGTTGCCTTTTGACTGTGCTCTGAAATGCCCTAGCAAACACTTAATGCAAGGAATGGGCAACAAATACTGATCTTGCCAGTGCTGCCCATATTCCATAAGAGAATAAAGAAAACACAAGTATTCTGTTGTTTTCATTCCTGAAACCAGCAAATTGCACAGTGAAATTACTTGAATTGATTGTTCACTATTAGTTTGAGAGGAGAAGTCTGTTAAACTGTTGATCAGGCTCTTTTATGTGTGTCCCACCCTCAGCATTTTTTTTGCAACATTGCCAACTCAATTGATTAATATAGGAAATAAGGGTCAGAGAATGGCAGGAAGGATCAGAGAGAGGAAACCTAGGGATGCACCAAACGTAGAGCCAAGATATTATTAAAGGTTACAAAATAACAAAACTAAAGGATCCGTATTTGAATGTGCATAGCATTGATCACAAAGCAACTGAACTGATCGAGCGCAATGAAGTAAATAAATGCAATCTGTTAGCCATTACAGAGATATGGCTGCAGCATGGCCAGGTTTGGGTTCTGAATACTGAGTGGTATGTGGCATCCAAGAAGAATAGGAAGCTAGGTAAAGGTGGAGGGATAGTACTCCTCATCAAAGATAGTATTAGAGATGGTCTTCTTTCCGGAGATCAGGAGAATCAGAACGGTTTGGCGAAGACTAGGAATTGTAGTGGAAAAATGTCACAAGTGGGAGGAGGTCTGCAGGCCCCCACTAACAGTAATCACAGTGTAGGAAGAAGTATATAAGAGATGGGTGATGGCGTAGTGGTATTATCACTGGACTGTTAACCTAGACACCTAGGTAATGTTCTGAGGACCCAGGTTTGAATCCTGCCACGGCAGATGGTAAAATTTGAATTCAATAAATATCTGGATCTAAGAAATTAGTGATGATCATTGTCAATTGTCAGAAAAACCTATCTGGTTTACTAATGTCCTTTAGGGAAGGAAATCTGCCGTCCTTACCCAGTCTGCCCTTCATGGGACTTCTGACCACATAGCAATGTGGTTGACTCTTAACTGCCCCCGTGCAATAAATGCTGCCTGGCCAGCAATGTTCTCATCTTGCGAATGAGAAAAAGAAATTCCTCCTGAGATGTTGATACTCTGACTTCAGGACCTTAACCCTTTCTTGTATCATGGGATCTTGCTGTTTTTCATATTGGCACTAGGGAGACGACACACCAGGTGGGACTTAGATTGGCAATTGTAGAAATATGTTTCTGTTCTGTTGGGCATTCAATCTCTATGGCTACTTTTCTGCACTCCCCTGTGCTGTGACTAACTCCATGATGTAGTGGATGCACCCTCCCCCACCAAGTTGTTGCCATCCTTGCTTGTACACTGAAAACTAGTTTATGAGGCCCGTACTGTTGCTAGAATACTACATGTGTACTGATCCTGCCAGTTGGCTAATGGCACCCACATTCCCATTGCCACTCTACTTTCCAGATTCACCTGACTGTACATCGTACCTCTGCCTGTGTGCTTGTCAACAGATTCTTTCTTATCTAAAGCCTTGTTTAGGCCCATCATATTCATATTATAGCCTTGATGGAGACTCTGCCAGCTGGTGGCAATGCCATTTCCCTTATTCAAGCCTGCCTATACTTTTCACCAAACTGTGCTAGTGAGTGTTGATCATATCACTAAATTTCACCTTGGCCTCTTTCTCTCAAAGAACAAAGAATAGTACAGCACAGGAACAGGTCCATCACTGTCACATGATGATGCCTTTCCAAACTATAAACATTTTACCTCTACGCAGTCTATATCCCTGTATTCCTTGCATATTCATGTATCAGTCGAGATGCCTCTGAAAAATTGTTATTGTATCTGCCTCCACCACCCCCACTGATAGTGCATTCCAGGCACTTATCACCCTCTGTGTCAAAAAAAAGATTTGCCTTTCACATGTGCTTTAAACTTTCCCCCTTTTACCTTAAACCTATGTCCCCTACTAATTGACATTTCTACTCCGGGAAAAGGACTCCAACTATCCATTCTATCCATGTGTCTCGTTATTGTGTAAACTTCTGCTAGGGCTCTGCTCATCCTTCAATGTTCAAGTAAAAACAAACCAAATTTGTCCAGTCTGTCCTCATAGCTAATACCCTCCAAACCAGGCAACATTCTGGTAAACCAGAACTGTACATTGTATTCCAAATGTGGCCCAGCTAAAGTTCTATACAGGTGCCTTAAGTATTTAGCATCTTCTCGTTCTTTTGCTGTAGATTACATCCAAATTGTGTTTAAGTACC